AGCTAGTTTATTTTTATTCCTCGTATTAATGTTATGTCTGTCACTATTTTTCATAAAGAAATTACTATTCCTCTGAACATAAATTACATTTAGGAAATGAAACTATTTTTCCGGATTTAAATAGCGTACATATGTTTTAATTTATTCTAATTTCTATTATTATCTAATAATAAATTGAACTTAATAAAAATTCATTCAATAAAATAATTTTTAAAACATAATTTAGCGTAAATTGGAATGTTTTCTTTGTAAAATTAAAAATAAGGTATTTAATTAATAACTATTTTAAATATAGTGAAAAAATAGGGTGGTTTGCATCAATATTAGACATAACTGGTTGAAGACTATACCACCTCAGTCAACCGTGACCATGGGACATGTAAAGGGCCCGAAACGTCTGTTTGTTTGAAAAAACAAATATACGCGATTTAAATCCGGAAAAATAGTTTCATTTCCTATGTGTAACAATCGCGAAAACCTAAAAACTCGATATAAATTACATTTTCATAAATGAACTGTGACCCTAGTGTAAGAATGTTTGTTCTGTTAGCAGTGAACTTCAGTGTTATGCTTCCAGTCAAGTCAGATAGTAGCGTCATCTGGGTGAAGGAGACTCACACCACGCCCGCTACTTACTCCAGAGCGTACTTGCATCAGCGTGTCTAACCATTAGAGTTATAATTTTATTTGTTTCTATTTCAGCCCAGACAATGGTCTCGTTGCGAACCCTAGCCACTGCTTACATGCAAGTTGGATCTTTAATCGTGCCTCTGCCTTACGAATTGGGCGAGGATTCCTTTCATAACCAACCTGCAATTTCATAACCAACGCTTATTGCCCAGTACTTGAGGGAGAAGTTTTGTCCTATCAGTTAAGGATGTTTATTGAATCTTTCATGGTAGTGGTAAGTTCGATAATGCACATTTTCCCAAAAAATCCGTGGTCGAAGAAATACCACATGGCTTCAAAATCTTGCAGAGTGGTTCAACATAAGTGCAACTTCACGTATCCAAATTGCCATAAAGATAGTCGATTATGATAGCCGTTAGGTGATGGCACCCCAAGAAGAAGAATGCAATTCCCTATAATTTGCTCGTTATTTAGTTTCTTCTTCACTGTTAATTACTTGCCGTCGGCCTATGTTCATTATATTGAAACGTTCTAATTCTAGTTCTAGTTCATTATAATTATTAATACAAAGATCGAACTTAAAGTATATAACAAATAAAAGCAACATCTTGTCGGGGATAGTGCAAATCCGCGTATGTAGTATTGGTAAAAAGCGCGTATCTGCACCAAACCAAATTTCATAGGAGAGGGATTTAACGTTATTACTTTGTTATGTCTACGGACTGATAACAATAGATTCCCGTAAATCAAGCTAATTTGGTTGCCCCGACATTTACGCGAATTTGATTTGGTCACTAAATTACCCAAAAGGAAAGTTATAATTAAATACCAGTAGTAGTTACGCGTAATTGCACTATCCCCGACGAATTCTGTATTCAGCTGGTAGCTGTAAAGGTACCTGGCTGATAGAACAAAAACTTGCATAGATTTCTCACAGATGGCGCTACAGGAAAAAGTCGTCAAAAACCAAACATAAAAGTCAACAAGCACATAGAAAAATTCGTAAGGTCTGTTGGTTGGTTCCGTAGTGGCTGAGTTGGGAGAGCGTCTGCCATGATATGTTGAAGGCGTCGTCGGTTCGAGTCCAGCCGGGTCGAATGAATTTGTTTATTTGTTTTCCAGGGCACTCAAACAACTGTAGAGTTCAGGATAGTGGACGCCTCTAATACCAGGTCAGCTTTAATGTGCATCAGACTGCCGATTCGCATCGTGCCACCTTTGTCGGCGGCACTTGAAGGTCCTACGGGTGAAGGCAGTGAAGATTCCAACAATTAAGACTTTTTAATGTTGAATGATGAGCAGGAATTCCGAGACTCTTAAACACGCCTTATAAACTCAATGGCATTTGATTTTTGTTAATTTGACTTCCCATGAATTTCTTTCCGTTTGTGTAGCAATAACGAAAACCTGAGATTTTGATTTAATGTAGACGTTGTTTAATTTCGTAAATAGTAAATATACTGTTTATTTACTGAACTAAACTGCCTACATTTTACAGTAAACACATCTATAGTCTGTTCCAAATCCATTATACCAGAAAAGTATACAAACAGATTATTGACCCGACCATAGACAGTTTAGTGATGGCCAATTGTACTGCCAACAACTCAAAGAAATCGTTCATTCAATTATTAATCGATTTGATTAATTGAATCAGTTGGAATAACTGGGTTTTATAATAAAAATGGGATATGACATTTCACTGCTGATTACTATCAAAAAATATGTGATTGAATACTGAGCGATGATATTTCCTACATGAGATTAGAATTTTTTTGTTACATAATCTGTAAAAGTAAATTGACCTAAATACGCGTTTGTAGAGGTGAGAATTGCGTTTCCCCGCCGCATGCTGGCGTGCGGAACCGAATGATGGGGTTGAACGAGGATTGTAATGTAAAAAATGAAAGATTTGTTTGAGCGCTTGCACTGTCGGATACACTCAGCGGTAGGTACGTATCGCGTAACCTCGAACAAGTAACGGAGCCCTGGCCTTAGGTTGCAATGTTGGCGCTCCTGGCAAGTTAGCCAACTATATGGAGTGCAGATATATATGTAAACGGGGAAATATATGGATATATATGTAAACTGCCAGCGGTCATTCTATAATATTTGGAATGGTCCAGAAGTACATCTGAATTCAAATTAGGTAAGTATATCATTCGCTATATGTTTCCGCAGTTAAGTAGCAGTAGAGCTCCTTGTGAAAGAGTTCGTCCAGGGTTAGTACTACCACCTTACCTATTTCTGCCGCCAAGCAGTAATGTCAGCGTTACTGTGTTCCGGTTTTGAGGGTAAGGGTACTGGTGATATTACAGGCACATGGGACTTGTCAACTTAAGTCTCAGAGTGACGGGCGCAGTGGTAGTGCTCCTCAGATCTTTGCAATTTAAAGCTCTGACTGGCACTGCAACTGTTACGGACAGGCGTGTAGCTTACCATCAGGCGCACGACTTGTTTATAAACATATTATATGACATATTATAAACAAAAAGTTAAGTTACGTGTATAGAAGTTACGCAATCAACTGATTATTGTTCCATTGAGTAACATTTTCATTTCTAAACCGCCGCAATTATGGAAGATGGTTTCTCCGTAAATGGCCTCCGGAGCATCCTCCGTCATATGTATTCTTATGTACATTTGATATAATTAATTTATCTGTGTAATTATTGAGTATATAGCATTCCATTTATTTCTTTTTATTGCCAAACCATGAGCCAATTTTCCTCCCAGGTATTCAAAGGTTAGTTGAAGAAATCCTGTTTATGGGATAGGCTCGCCTTTGTACACTAACAATTATTGTTTGTTAAAAATTGTAATTTGTATTGTGGTATTTTAAGTAGTTTTACATACATAAGCTATTTAGATTAGAAGACTTAGATTCATTTCCAATTTCGTATCATGTTACGTAAATAATACGTTTTGACGGGTATATAGATATACGTAAATACTTAAAAGCTGTAAGAAATTTGTCGTACTGGCCATTCTAATATTTTTTTATGTAACCAACTGACTGGACGATCAAGTCGTGCACCTGTGTTAAGCGACATACCTGTTCATAGCAGTTCCAGTGCCCAAAGACGAAAAAAAAAAATCGAAGCGTGGAAGCCTCGATTACTTTCAGAACCGATGTCGCCAAAACTCACACATTAATAATTTGAAACACTATGAAATTTTGATAATGATTGGTCGTAGTTTCAAATCTAAAAAGAAAGAACAAATTCTGGGCTGTTAATATAATTTAAACTTTACCCTGTTGGCATATCGGAGAAAGTTCAGTACTATCAATATATATTATTGCAAGTTACGATGTTTTGATTTTACATTGAAATTTCAATCATTGTGCTGCCATCTAGCTGCTAATAGCTGAACCACGATGAATTCGAGAGGTTTACTTAGTTCTCCAAAAAAAGCCACCATATTGCAGCGCTATAAGGTTTACTTACATTTTTTTGTAACTAAAAAAAAATATTATTTACAATAAACAGAATATTGAAAAAGTATTAAAATTAAATAAAATGAGATTTAATGATAAGATGAAACACCATTGAAAAGGCATTTTTCTACAATTTTCGGGGTTTTGCGTGAGAAAAATTGATACTATGGTCCTGTACATACAAAGCGAAAATGGCGGGCTGGAGCTCGAGTTTACGGAACTCCTGTTGGCACACGTGGTACGTAAACTAAGCACTTCTACTGTGTTTATTGTTCTTTGGCTGTGCCACTCAGAGTTTTAAATCGCAAATAACTGGAACAGCGCCGAAGTTGACAAGTCTCATGTGCCTGTAATTTCACCAGGACACCGGAACCGTAGTTTAGTAGCAGTAGAGTTCCTTGTGAAAGGGTTCGTCTAGGGTAGTGCTGCCACATTACCTATTTCTGCCGCCAAGCAGTAATGTCAGCATTACTGTGTTCCGGTTTTGAAGGGCAAGGGTGCTGGTGAAATTACAGGCACATGAGACTAGTCAACTTAAGTCTCAGGGTGACGGGCGCAGTGGCAGTGCCCCTCAGATCTTTGCAATGTAAACCTCTGAGTGGCACTGCAACTGTTATGGACAGGCGTGTAGTTTACCATCACGACTTATTCGTCCCGTCACTTGATGTTATAAAAAAAAAGAAAAAAAAGCGGAACGCAGTATTTGTTTCGGTTACAGCACGTGAAATTGTTAAGGCCTATAATCGTTCGCATCGATCATAATTTACACTGGGGCGCTGCACGGGACTGGAATACTGATTTACTTCTCTACACGACTCTGTCAGCAGTAGGATATATAGGCAGACATTTTTTTTTCCGATATTTTACGTGATGATTGCATGCATAAATTGAACTGGTGTCAGTTACAAAATGTTCAAAAATCAAATCACGGTAAAAATATTATCTGTCCTTCATATCACTTTAAAACTTATTTTTAACGAAGCTTCTGAAATCGAGAGTATTTATACAAAGCGGTAGTTTGAATGGATAAAATTTGAAGAAAGTATTCCTTCTCTAAGGCTGCCTTTCCACCAGAGATGTGCGAGGTAGCGAGGCGGTGCGAGGGTGTGTAGCGGCGCTGTGAAACGGTGTGATGTTTTCCACCAAAGCTGTGCGAGGTAGGTAGGTGCGAGGATACGTTACGAACTCTTCAGCTATGCGGTGGGCGGGGTACGGTGTGGTGGGATGAGCGGTGGCGATGTGTCAGTTAGTGTCATACTTTCAGTAGCTCTAGTTTCCTACACCGTTTTGCACACATTCCTCGCCCGCATCCCTCGCACACATTTCTCGAAAACATCTCTCGCTATTTTGTATGTACAAATATCTAGCTCCGCCAACTCTTTTCCATCTGAGCTGCGCTAAGAGAGTCTAGGAAAATGAAGTAATCGTATTGGTGGATTTTTTCGTCGCTCACCGCCTCGCTACGTCGCGCATCTTTGGCGGAAAGGCAGCCTAAAGGCGGTAAATTATCTGATGAATCAGGTTTATAGAATTTCATACTTTCCGATAAAACTTGGCAAACAGTTGTAATTCCACAAATTTTCAAAGTTGATTGGTTTTTATAAAAAAGTTGTTATTAATTTGCACCCCTTATGCTAAATGGAGTTAGGAATAGGTAAATAGGTAGTAAGTAGTAAATAGGCAATAAACGTCTAAAGGAGTTAGTTCCGTTAATATAGGGGGTTGTTTATTAACCAACATAACCAATTAGTAGCTACTATCTTATAGCAGTAGAGCTCCTTGTGAAAGAGTTCATCCAGGGTAGTGCTGCCACCTTACCTATTTCTGCCGCCAAGCAGGAATGTCAGCATTAGTGTGTTCCGGTTTTGAAGGGTAAAGGTGCTGGTAATATTACAGTCACATGGGACTTGTCAACTTATGTCTCAGGGTGACGAGCGCAGTAGCAGTGCCCGTCAAATCTTTGTGATTTAAAGTACTGAGTGGCACTGCAACTGTTATGGACAGGCGTGTAGCTTACCATCAGGCGCAAGCTTGTTCGTCCTGTCACTTGATATTAAAAAAAAGATTACAGGGAAGTCCAAAAGTGTTACAATTTTAGTTTCTGATTGAAAAGTTAATGGGGAAGTGATATGTGATTTAGTAGGTTCTGAGTGATGGAGTGATTTAGTAGCAGTAGAGTTCCTTCTGATAGATTTCGTCCAGGGGAGTACTGCCGCCATAACTATTTCTGCCATCAAGCAGTAATAAGAGAGTTATTGTTATCATCTGTCGTCAAACTCTGGGGACAGCTACAATAAATCAATGTAGGCATTTCCTCCTTCGCCGAAGAAAGTTCCTCAATCTAAAAATCACATATACCCTAGCTTTGTATGATGTGGAAAAACGTGTACAATTTCTCTGTCCGATTGAGCGGCGAATGTAATATATGGCAATGGGGTACTGCTTTGGGTCAGTCACATGCAGGTAATGTAGAGCGCTTTTAGGAACAGAAAGTGGCTTGTAAATAAACTTTATTGGGCTATTTTTCTTATTTAAGTACTGTTGTTTTGATAGTTTGTAGCTACATGTTTATGGCTAAGCAAGATCCTCTTCAACAAAATAAGAAAGAAATTCTACTTTTCACTGTGACTGTGTCTGCATCATCGAGTATATAACCAGAAATAGAGACGAAATAAGGGCCATCCATCCCTGGCAACTCATCAGGTAAATGGGCCTTATATCACTTTTAAATATCAACTCTCGTTTGCTCTGAAATCACAAATTAGAAAGCTGAAATAGTACAGAGCCAACAACTGACCTGTGTGTACGTATCCGTATATTCCAAAAATATTCTGTATTTATTGTAATAAAGATAATATCTCTAACAATGTGGAGCTGTTCCATTCGGTGGTGTGGGAAAAACAGCAAAATATGTAATTACAAACGACACGGACTCACATTGTAATTTTGCAATGTTCCTTATAAATGTACCATGACGCTAGTGTAAAAATTTAATTTCTTTAAACTTGTTTCTCAAGGATACCCCAAGAGTATCTGAAATTTCTAGTATCCGACGAAGCAAGAACGTTAAGGATGGAATTAAATTCCCGCGCAGATTTTCCGAAATGTATCAAATATAATTACATAAAACCACTTATTTGACCACACGTAGCATGCAGACCATCGAGTATATAACCAGAAATAGAGAAGAAATATCATTTAATTTGTTTGGAAACTATTCTGCGAAATCACTAGTGTGACAACTGCGCTTGGTTTTTCCAGCCCGAATTCAAAACAACTGACGGGTGTCGTCAATTATTTCACTTTAAATCGACCAGTTTAACTTGAGCCTTGGTATAATGGACGAATATTGCAAAATTACATATATTATCTAATATTTAATTACCGATGAAATGTGATTCCGTTTATTTTGTAATTAGATGTTTTGCTGTTTTTTCCCACACCACCGAATTCAACAACCCAATTGTTATAGAGATATTATCTTTATTACAATAAATACAGAATATTTTTGGAATATATGGAGACGTACACACAGGTCAGTTGTTGGCGCTGTACTATTTCTGTTTTGTAATTTGTGATTTCAGCGCAAACGAGAGTTGATATTTAAAAGTGACATAAGGCCCATTTACCTGATGAGTTGCCACGAATGGATGGTCCTTATTTCGTCTCTATTTCTGGTTATATACTCGATGTCTATATTGGTTTCTTTTGGTTTAGGCTGTATAACCAATCTGAAAATATCAGATTACAGAAAAAGTTGCCTATCTATTATGATATATCAATATTGATAATTATTTTTAAGTCTGTTTTTGGAGTATTTCTTTGTATAGACTTTAGATTATCCACATGCACGTATTGTATTTATGTTTTATCTTTGTCTAGATATCAAATATGATTGATAATAATTGTAAATCATTGGGCAAGATAATATTAGCAGGTTCCGCGTCGTGCTTAGTTTTTATGTGATACAATATTTTTATAAGAACTTGCTTAACCAGTCTGTATGCCTAATTTGTTTTTTTTTTTTTGCGTTTTGGAGGGATGCACGGAAGGAATCTCCTCGCAATAATGTTCGCATCGTATTCCTAGAACGTCTGGCGTACCCAATCAGCGTGTACCTTACGTCGACTGGCTAATCCTTTAATCACGATGGCAAACATATCACAGGCACAAAAATGTCAACCTATTTGCTGATACAACATTGCTTAACGTGTGTCTTTATCTAGAACGCAACATATGACGCAGTTTAGATCAAGAAATACGAAATTTCCCAAAGTAACCACCATTTACGGGGGATTTGCAGCACCGACACACCCTAACGGGCTACGCTTATGCTAACCCTATGAGTTGTGGACAGCCTGTGTGTTAGTGGTGGACATTTTCTGTTCATGCAGCCTTCCGCCAGATTTTCTGCGATCAGTAAAACCAAGACCCTTCCATTGTTAAGACCCTTTCATTGTTTTTTTTGTTCCATGGTTTATACAGTATCTCTTAGCTGCTGGAAAGCGAAATTGTTGAAGGGAAATGGTATACGTTCGCCTTGAAGATGCTTGCTTTTTCACTCTGATGTTAAAGATATCCAGATTGCATAGTGCGCGAAGAACAGAATCCGATTGAGTATTTCCTCTTCAACCGCTCGAACAATTAAACTGTATTTGGAACCCTAATAATTTCGGCGAAATGTCACGTACGATGATAATACCAAACTAATTCGCTGGTAAGAAATCGCCCTGATTGCAAATTAGTCAGTACTGCTAGAGAATTGACAGCAAGCATAATGTTGACTAAAGTTTTTTTCCTTTTTGTTGTGTTTGCAGCTGCAAATGCTCAGACTGATATCAGCAGGTGTAAGATATTTTTGTTGACAACTCTTTCAATTTTGCAATTTCAATGAATGACTGTCTGAAGAATTTGTTTCCACAAACGAAATGCATTTTGTATTTAAAATTGTAATGCTTGTTGTAGGCATAGTAAATTCAGGGGAACTTCCCGATTTCGTTGAGGTGGTGGGCTGCACATCAACTCCTTGCTTGTTACCTCAGCTTGAATATGCTGAGATTAACATGAGATTCCGAGCACGTGAGTATCTTTTTAAGGCGAGTCGCTGGCGGGGCAGCGGGAAAAACGGTTTTTCTAAATCAAAAGGTTTATGTATTCACTATTAAATGAATCTTATAAAAACATACGATACCTACACATTAAGGATACTGTAAAGATGTGAATCGTTGCACAATAGGATGTACCTACTTTACACGATCATATAAAATCATGAAAACAGACTAAAATTAAAGTCTACAACTTATTAATTTATGTTCAACGAATTATTAATTTATGAATAAAATATTTAACTTAGCACATAATTTGTATCTGGACATATGGTTTTCAACTGAAGTATTTATTAAATTCATATTCATCCCAAAACTTGAAATTTGCCCAGTGGTTTAACGATACGCCGCGCCGCCCGTTCCGTCAGTCGCCATCGGGCGTTTGTCAATCTGTGTCAAATTTTCGTCGCTTGTTCTTATTTATTTCACATACACATTAATTTTAAATTTATTCGCGTTAAAATATCTTTTTTTTTTTATAAAATATAAGTGCGCTTTTGACCTCCATCTCACCTTATGGAAAGTGACGATGAGGTCAACGATGGTGCATGCACACCTAAACAAGTTATAGGTAACGTTCAGGGAACAAGTCTGCAGGCGGGGAATTCCGCTCCATAGCCGGTCGCCACATGAATGTGGAAGCGTAACTCTTCGTGCGAATCTTTGGAATATCCACAACATAGGGGTGGAACCGAAGCCTACGTCTAGTGGTGATGGATAGGGGAAGGCGGAATTAAATCGTGTAGTTCCATCGCACACTCTTTGTGACATTCTGTAAAATTATCGACAAGCAGGCCACTTTACGGCGGTGATCAAGGCTCTGCAGCTTGGCCTACACTAATTCCGAGTCACCTATAAACCTCTTGACACGTTTGTCAATTGAATCCAAAGTGGTCAGTTGATATGTAGCAGAGCCATCTTAAAAGGTGGCAGTGGTACTCCATGCACGACCGGACTTGTGCTTGGTACAGCTGAAGCAACTGTCCCGGTGTAAAGTAACACCTCACCTTGGAAAGGGGATCCTTTTCTTGCTTCATTTTCATATCTTGCTATAATGACATCAAGTGACAAACAAGTTGTGTCTGCTAAACTACATGTCAATCCATAACAGTTGCAGTGTCACTTAAAGCCTTAAATCGCCCAGATCTGAGGGACACTACCACTACGCATGTCACCCTGGGACATAAAATTGACAAGTGCCATGTGCCTGTAATTTCAAAATTGCAACGCATTAATGTTCACATTACTGCTTGGCGACAGAAATAGGTAAGATGGAGAACTTCAATCGGCGAACTCTTTCACAAGGAGCTCTAATTCTTCTTATCGATGGTGTCCACTGTAATGCTTGCCAGCGTAGTGAAAACATTTGCCAATTGGCATAAGGTACTCGTAAGGGACCGATTGTTGCCCAAGGTACGCTAGACCGGGGAGGGGGGAGGTTCCTGGCCACTTCAATTGACGGTACGGTTTGGTATTGATCAGAGAACAGTAAATACAATAGAAGTGGTTAGTTACGTGACCTCCTCATCGTAATCCTACCTTTTTATCGCATTTTCTCCGGTTCCTGGCCACTCGTTTTTAAATTTTGAATGGTTCTTTAATAATTCCTTTGCCTCGCTATTCTGATTTTGTTTCTTTCCATCGCCACTCCCTGCCCGATCGCAGTAGCGAACACCTCTTCTCGTTAATTTTTTGAACTGTTTACCAGTTACCAAAAATCTCTTGTACGTAAATGTTTATCATTTTAAAGAGCACAAATATTAATAAAACGGGAATAATATTTATAAAACTGGATTTATTACCACTATTTCTTTACCCTTATGAATTTTGAACTTAAACTACTAAGCAAGATGTATTTAGGTTGCGGAGGCTGACGAGGCTACTACTCTCTTGGCTACATTACAATCCACAGAACATTCCAGGCAGTACCAGCAGCGGCACACGCTCTTTCAGTTAGCGTCTGACGCGTACCAACTATAGGTTTCGAAAGATCTATCTGAGATCAGTCCTCCATTTTCGCTTTGTATGGTATGGTTGTGTCTTTCTTTGGTGCAAATTCTGTATAATCCTAGAAAAATGTCTTATTAATACATTTTAAATATTTTGTTTATTGAATAATTTTTTTTTACAAGAAACGAAGTTTATACCCCAGCAATATGGTCGCTTCTTTTTTTGAGAACTAAATGAATAACTCCAATTCGTCGTCGTTCGCTGTTAACCGCTAGATGGCAGTACATTGATTGAAATTTCAATGTAATATCGAAACGTCGTAACGTAACTAGCTTGATAATAGGTATATTGAAGTTTCAACGTCAACAGGGATAAGTATAAATTGTATTAACAATCCAGAATTTGTTATTTCTTTTTAAATTTGAAACTACGACCAATCAATTTCAAGATTTTGTAGTGTTTCAAATTGAGAATGGGTGAGTTTTGGCGACAGCGATTCTCATAGTAATCGAGGCTTGAGGCACTTCCATTGTTTTTTTTTCTTCCGTGGTACTGCTCTATTGTTATTGTAATTTAGCAAACAAGAAACAAGTAGTTGCTATGTAGCGATTTGTTTACTACATACGATGCAGAAAAGAAGTTGTTATAATAATGCCGACAGGTTATATGAAAGTTTGCTTTGGCGAACATAATTTCCATCTATTGTAGTGTACAATAAGGGCAAAATAAAAGAATTAACCATGCTGCTACGTTTGTACAATCGAGTACAAGGCAATTTTAAAATTATACCACGAATTTTTACTGTTTTGTTACTGTGAAAGTTTTAAATACAATTAAAGTAATAACTAATAAATGTGTGTTTTATGTGTGCGAGTATGCGTGGGTGTTGAAATGTATGTAACTTCAACTTCAATTAGTCTACGTGATTGTATTTAATACGTGACCATCTCAAGCTTGTGGTCTTTTTATAGGTATGCATATATTTAGATGTAAGAGCTCGTCAAGAAAATGTTCAGTAACTCCTTAAACATAATAATACGGGTTGTATGTGCTCGGAAACACAGTCACATCACGGGCAGGGAATTCCGTTCCTGGACAGCGTGTATAATAAAAGTTGACTATGAACAAGAGCGGCCCTGGTATACTGCCCTGCGGTGCTCTATTATTATAATTCATTATGCTGATGACCTAGAAGGTGTATGTATTTCCAAAATTCGTGTTATTGGTAATGGCAGATTCAATTTTTCACTTTAAGCTAAGGCGTCCAAAGCCCAAAGCCGTGCATTTTGCTGGTAATATAAGTGTGAAATTTCTATATCAAGTGATATCGCCTCTACGCAGTTCCCCGCAACTCCGTGATTACTTATAAGTAGTGTTGAAACGAATATCATATTTGGCCTCTGGCTGAATATCGAGTATATTTGGCAAGCAGCGTGACGAATGGCCGAATATTCGAATAAACTATTCGACCTTATTAACTCACATACGAAAATGTCACGAAAAATACCACTTATTAACTTTACTTATGATATGTAAATAATTTTGTACAATGAATTAAATAGGTACTTAAATTTTCAGTTTTTTAAAACATTAAGATTTAATGAAGAAAGTACTTGTTTATTTATTTCAATTTGATTAACTTTCAAAAACTTAATTTTGTTCTGGTTTGCAAATAATAAGTATTTGTTTGGTTTTCTTAGTGTTTATTTAGTCGTGAGTAAACTATATAGGTTATAAGTAGGTACTTTTCATTTGATATGTTACTTTTATGATCTCTTAGAAAAATAAATTATGTTAGATGTAATCGCACACCTTTAACGTAAGCGTTTGGCGGCACGCACCGCCGATCGCCTGTACTTTAGTGCATTACAATAAGTCGTATAGATCGGGCGCATTCATAACATTGCTTAACATTTAACATAACATAATTTTAACTATTTTGAGCAATAAAGTTTATAAACTTAAACCGTGTTTCCACGATCAACAACAACAATCACCACTACTCCGAACATTGGTCCTTCGAGCCGGACGTTTTCGTTACATTTTGTTCAATGTTTTAGATAAAGTAGCGAAAAATTGCGCCTTCGCAAACTTACAATGTATGTTCATGATTCATATTAGTTATATGATAATTTATATGTTTTCTCTTATTTCTTCCTGCTGTTTTTAGGTACTTACCCGAATAGCAAAAATCAGGGCGAATAACACGAATACCAAATAATAGTTGCATATTCGTTACAGTAACTCTATAACTTGGACCTTTAACGTTTTCAAGGCAACAGTGAATAAGCATTATATATGTGTGCATGCTACATCGTCGACCTCATCGTCACTTGTAGAACACACAGATGTAGGTGAAATGCGCACTTATTTCTTTATTAAAAGAAAACTCTACTTATAAGAGACTTTTAAAAAAAATTAATATGTAGTTTGAGGAATGGTTTTAAGCCATATTTGTTGTAAACCAGTGCTCTCACGATCTTTTCCAAGATAGGATGTTCTATTTTTTTTACGATATCAAGTAACGGGACGAACAAGTCGTGCGCCAGGTTTTTTTTTTCAACTGCTCCCCGAGACATGACAAGACTCATGTACCCTTCAAAACTGGCACGCATTGATGCTCACTTTACTACTGGGCGGCAGAAATAGATAAGGAGGTATTACTTTCATGGACGAACTTTATCACAATAATTTGCTACCGTTTTAGTTACTGTTGAAATTTGAAAAAGCTGCCCGCTACTAAAGCTCTCGTCTAAGTTGTGTCATATAGCCAGTGCCTCTACCACTTGTTTAGTGTGAGGGATGTGGCTAGCGACTGCGTAAATTACTTCACAATTTTTACTCAATTCGACTATTTGTATTGTATGTCTGTTACGCGATTAATCCAGTATTTCGATGATTCTTTTCTATTGGAAAGAGGGTACCTCAGTGTTGGTCCCATTTAAATTACAAAAAAATATTCCACCTATGACGGTGGCAAATTAGGAGATGAATCCAGTTTCGCACATTTTCCAGGTAACCGATTTCAATACAACTTGACACTTAAGATACCATCCCACATATACGGCAGATTCATATTTTCATTTGACAGTAAGAATCCAATTTTCTTGAATCCTTATTAATATTGATTGAACAAAGAAACTGGCCAATAAAGTTTAAGGACAAAAAGGATTCAATGTGTCTAGATCGTTTTTGTTATATCCTAATTAGTTCATTACAGTAACAGGAAAAATACCAAAAAGACCCAAAACATGAAAGAATTTATACTGCCGAGGAGTACATAAATGTTATTAACAGTGCCAAAAAGAAAAACCCGATACAAGTATACGTACAGAATGGAAAAAAAGATTTTTCGAGTACAAGAAACTTAGAGAAGAAAATCGGTAAGCTGGAAGGTCTTTGCGAATAAGAATAAAACGAACTGGCTGAAAACAAAAGAAATCTTACTGCAGAAGGGAAAAGAAAGTGTTGTTTATATGAAGACTACCTTAAATGAAGCGGGATTTCAAGAACTTAATATCGAAAAGAAGTCTAAAGGAAAAATTCTGACGATATCTGAAAACGACTTAACTACTGTGGCCGAATGGAAAAGAAATACCCCAAATAAAACTGGACGATTTACAATCGATGTTTAATTTGATTCCCAAAGATTGTCTGGATTTTTATAAGTCGCTTCGAGGGAATGCCAGTTTGTGGATGACATCGATAGGTTTGGGGGCTCACTTGATTTTGTAATTGAAAATCAAGAAGCCGAATATGCAACAAATGAGACGGATAGAGTTTGATTAATCGTTATATTTACAAAATATTAGCAATTTATGATATTTCAAACTGATTACTGTTGTTATTGAAAAACTGGTCTCAGAATAAGTAAAACATTAATTATAAGATCCGTTCTGTTATATTAGTAAGAGGAATAATTGAAACGTTTAAAATAAACAAGAATGTTTATACAATATTCATAGTTTTGTTCAAGATAAATACCAAAGAGTAATAATTTTAATAAATGGATCTATACTGTGAAACGAAATTATGAGCTACTACAATTAAACATATAATTTATCGAAAAGGATCCAAAGCTATATTTTCCTAAATATCTCATAAAATACTAAACTATTCAAAACAAAGCATGCATAATATAAAAACATAGGCAAGTACCTCTAGAGTTACATGAATATATAAATTTTCAAAATAAAACAAGAGTGGGAAAACATTTTCAAACTTCAAACTACCGTATTCTAAAAATTGACTGGATGTAGATTGGGTTTTTTTTGCTTAACTACGGCCAACTGGCACAACTGTCCGTAATCTCATGGTAGAGGCACTGGTCTCCAATTTAACGTCCAGTTCCAGTCAGTCAAGTGACGTAGATTGTAGCATCATCCTGGATGGCGGCAACCCACACTACGCCTACTACCACGTGAGACAAAAAAACAATGGCCTTCAGCCTCGATTACTATGAGAATCGCTGTCGCCAAAACTCACCCATTCTTAATTTGAAACACTACAAAATCTTGATACTGATTGGTCGTAGTTTCAAATTTAAAAAGAAATAACCTATTCTGGTTTGTGAATATAATATAATCTTTACCCTGTTGGCATATCCTTGAAAGTTCAATATCACCAATACCTATTATTGCAAGTTACAACGTTTTGATGTTATATTGAAATTTCAATCAATGTACTGCCATCTAGCGATTAATTGCTGAACGACGTCGAATTGAAGTTATTTAGTTTCCAAAAAAAGAAGTGAGCGTATTGCAGGAGATAAGCTTTACTTTCGTTTCTTGTAACAAAAAAAAAATATTAAAATAAGACGTACCGATAATATAGAAAAGGGTTAATATTTTTGGTGCGGTTATCATTTTTGCACTCCAAAACAGCACAATAAAGCTTTTTTCTAGGATTTTAGAGAATTTGCACGAAAGAATGACACAACCATACCATACAAAGCGAAAATGGAGGACTGAGATCGGATTGGTCTTTCGAGACCACATATAGTTGGCACGCGTCAGACGCTAACTAACCACTTCTACTGTATTTATTGTTCTGTGCCTCCTACCTACTCCAGAGCGCACTTGCATCAGTTTGTCCAACCATTAGAGCTATAATTTTATTTATTTCTATTTCAGCCTACACAATGGTCTCGATGCGAACCCTAGCAACTTATTACTTGCATGTTGGACCCACACTTGTGCCTGTCCCTTACGACTTGGCCGAGAACTCTTTCACCTGCAATTTCCTCACTGGCGCTAATTGCCCAGTACTTCAGGGAGAAGTTTTGTCCTATCGGCTACGGATATTTATGGAATCGTTCCTGCCAGTGGTAAGTTTGTGGCCTAGCCTTAGTGAGAAGAAAGAAAAGTCTAGGTTCACATAAATTTATTAACAAGTAGAAAATGAAGATACAAGTAGATAATAAAGAACTATCAGTATGAAACACTCCCTACTAAATAGTCCAGACACTTACCCCAAGAAGGAATATACGTAATCTAACAATAACATAATAATAATAACGCACACATTTATAGCCCCGTACTAGGGAAAACCCCTATCGCGGGTGCAATGGACACACACATTAGACATCCGCAAATTACACCCAAACTCACGAAATAAATAAATGTCGGCCATTCAGATGTTTCTCTAGGCCCGTGAATCGAACCCGGGACCTCTGCGTGGCAGACCAGCATAGTAACCGCTCGGCGACGGAAGCAGTCCATGATTGGTTCCACTACCTTATGACGGATTTTCATATCTTAGTTCTAGTTCAGACATAGCCGGAGTGGACGTTACTGGTTTTACGGGCTGCAAAAGAAACTCGTTATGGCATCACTTTTCTAATTTGATAATAAATGTTACAAAATAATCACTTCACTGCCTTAATTTCTACGGACAAGAAACGCGGTTCAGTCCTAGTGACCACGACGTCGTGATCGTACTGGCGAACTGACTTCGCAAAAGTCTAGCAATACTGGCGGGGTACGATAGCCAGTAACGTTTTGATCGTTCAAGTATTGCTAGATATTAACTGACTGCACTATATGAAATTATTGATCAACATTCTGACTGCATTCTTCGAAACTGACACTGGCCCAAGCAAAGTGACCGCCATTAACCTTCGTATACCCGCGCGTTGGTCTCTCAGACCGACGATTATCGTTTGCTGTGTTTTTTCTGAAACGGGAAAATGTTAAAGCTTTGGGCTCACTGCTAGCTGCATGGTTCGTGGCTAACTTCATTTTAGCTTAACAGGACTATTCGTGCATACAACACGTGTACCCGTACCGTACCCGTACACCGACTGTATAGGTGTCACAGTTTTAGGTAATTAATATTTTTAGTAATTCCTATAGATATGTATTATTTTTAATTATAGTTGAGTTTACATTATGTATTATATTTGTAAATTATTTTAAGTTATATTTTATTACCTATTACAAATATGAGGAACGCATGAGAAGGGTTTAGGAAGAGGATGACTCCGATTCCAACTATGAGAGTGAAAATAACAGTGACTATCAGGAACATAGGAGCGCAGCAAGTAAGAAATGATACAGAGCAGGAGATAGTTTTCAAAGTGAGGAGAAGTTTCTAGACTACTACCTAGGCCAAGATACTCCAATAAATTGTAATAAAAATGCTTCACCGATGACAAGAAGAAGTATTTTTGAGCAAGATATATTTTTGTATGCAACATGCTATTTAGTTTATGGATTTTAAAATTTTATATATTACTATTTGACATTTGAGAGTTTATTTTATTTTGATACTATAAAAAGTATATTTTTGTTCAGGTTTTTGAGGCTCCTAGGAATATTGTAACTTACCTATGGCTGTAATTAAACACTGCTTATCTCTAATTAAAAAAAATAGTTGTCTATAAAACTGTGTTGGATATTATATTACATCCTATCTAATATAAAAAAATAATCCCGTCTAATATAAAACTAAATTATATGATAATATTTTACAAAACAACATTCTAAAATGGATCTAGCACTTTTGGTCTCATAGACCGTGTGCAAAATTTGGCGCGGCTATACGAAGGTTAAGGAAATAATAAGAACAACAGTAAAGTAACGTGTCACTGTTATAGATAAACAGGTTGCCCAGTAAGGGTGATTACACACGGCTTCTTTTAGCAACGATTGCATCGCTACACTTACGAATTATAGACGTCCGACAAGCAGCGCTCAATAGCATTATCTGACGGGCCTTCACCAGCTCTAAGATACCGGCAGTTCTCGAGCCCACTGGCATCTGTCGCAGTGAAGGTAAGAGGCCTGACGGTATGCCTGTCAGTCCATGGCAACTAGGGAGACAGCTAGTGTGGGACCTGTCGCATGTGCAAAAGGCTCAAATACGCCAACCTTGCCAAGTGGTACAGCTTTGTGCCTTTTGCGGTTTAAGCCGTGGGTCCCTGGGGACCGCAGGCGAAACTTCTAGCGTACGAGCTGTCGGATCGTCTCTTGGAAGCCTCTGGTAATCACAAGGCTGGCAGCTATTTCCGCCAAAGAATAAGTTTAGCAATTCAAAGGGGAAATGTTGCTAGCCTTTTGGGCACGACCGTCCAGGATACGGTCCTCAACGAAATTTTCTATTTATA